CACTATTCGATCTTGAACTTGTGATCAGATAGACCAGGGTGGTGGTGGGCGTTGGGTACTAGATAGGTTGGCTGTATATCCCAAGGTCTCGGCCTAAGGTATGTGTAGTATTGGGTGCTTACAGGAATAGAATGGTTAGGATGATTAATGGAAGGTTATCGAGCAGGGTCCAATTAATAATGACGACGATCTAAGTTGAGAAGGTGTATTCGAGTCGCCCGAACAATGCTGGACTACCTACCTACTTGTTGAAAGAGAGAAAAAGAATAAGCAAAGGAAAATGGCGCAGTGAGGAGTGTTCTTATGAAAGGGCCAACACCGTCGAATCCGCTGTATCCCCTTCTATGGCTCTTATCAAGGATATCAGACACGTGTGGGACAAGGCCAAGTGATCAAAATGTTGCATCTCCTAGGTTCTATCGTGGTCAGCTGTTAGTCCTGTATTACTGTTGACGGACCCATAAGAATAGAGCAACATGTCCTCCAAACAGCATACTCGCTACCCTATACCTATATGTCGATGGGAGACTTAGAGGCAATCTCGCACAAGGCCTTGCGCGTTGATCACCAGCCTGGGGCTTTTAAATGTAGGTAGTATATAAAGTAGAGGTGCTGCTTACCGTATTTGGCAGAGGAATAAACTTTCATAAAAACTCATTTCTATGTACTTAGTTATTACCAAAAGCTAAGCATATCAGAAAGTCAATACGCCTGCGCTACAAATAGCGTCAGAGCGAGCATTGAAGATTTGTAGATTCGCTACCACCCATCTGGAGTCGCTCACAAAAAACAACACGCCAAATCAACGCAAGGACCACTAATCTACAGGTTTATCATGATTTACTAAGGAGAACAACCACATGCGAATAGATTTCCGGTGCCCAATGTTGGTCAACCCCAGAGGAAAGTGTCGATCACACAGTGGAAACACTGACCGCTCCCAAAATGACATACTGGGACCTCAACAGCGCCTGATAGCCTGATACCATAGAGCTACCTCGGAGAGAAGGAAAACTTGCCTGAGACTTGAGAAGAGGATGCTAAAATGAACACAGTAAAGAGGCCCCTAAGCTTAAGCTAGAGTTGCCAGAATACTTATCGCTTAGGATAGAGGCCCAATTGTTCTTACCTCCTCTAAAGCCATTTTAACCCATTCGATGCTGCTCGACGCGAAGTCCCAGACTCGGGTTCGTTGGTGACGATAGGTATACAACTAATTACGCACCCCATACTTCCGCGGATTCGTCCCTAGCTTGGCGCCGTACGCAGGGTCGGTATTTCGCAACATTCTCGCTTCTGGAAGGCTAGAAGGCGAGCCCCCAGACACTTTGACCGCATCCGTGTTTCTCTAAGCTCGATATCTTAGCCCGCCGTGATGTTTGTAGCATTTCCTTAGGCGGTTGAAGGCCAAGCTCGGTCCCGGCCGCTGGGATGCCTCATTGTACATGTGTGTGTGTTTCGAGGCGTGTAGTTCTGCCTATCCAGCCACAGCTGTACTCACACAACAGTAATAGCAAAACCTCTCCAGGTTGCCAAGGATTTTCAGTTCGAACCAGGGAGGCGAATCGTTGTCGTGAAGAGGCTCTCACTTACAGCCGTAGAAAATCTGATAGAATTTCGTAAAGAGGCTCTCCCTCAAGTTTACGCACTAATGGCCTATGACCTCATCGCACTACTAAGGCAAGCGGTTGTCGCGCTGGAGTGAACTCCCGGTTAGCGAGATGTCCCGGCCACAAGTCGGCAGTAAAGGCGCGAAACCTTGCAGGCATAGCCGTTTTATCCCTCCTCCGGGACTTCCAGCCGGGATATCAGTCGAACTCCGGGCCTGGAATTCTGACTTCTAAATCCAACGAGTACCAACTCACAATCCTGCCTGTGAACAAACCATGTCGGACATGGACAGTAGAACTGATGAGATGTCCATCGAGAGAGTTTCGAGGCTTGTCGTGGCACCTATCCGTATGATTTCAGTGGCCAGCCATGGGATGTTGACTCTCCACTTTCCACGCCAAGCCGGCAGCCCAGCGCTCTCTCATGATGCTGGTAGACCCATGCCATGCAGCAGCAAACCCATGTTGCGTTTTTCAGAGTCGTTATAAGTCAACAGGATGAGACTTTGTTTGGGGATGGTAACAGATGCGAATCATGGGCCCTGGTATTAACAACCTCTTTCGTCTCAAGATCTTTTTCGATCCGTTGATTATTGAATGACAGTCGCTCGCAAGTTCGTAGATAGCACCGGAAACAAAGGATGCATGCTTCTTCCCGGCATTGAAACTGGGTCGATAAGGCTTGATTTCAGATTTGGTCGCTGGATCCTTGCATGTCAGGTCAAGGCAAAGCTTTCGCTTGCACAGTGTCGCATGTAACTGTGGAGATTCGGGGAAAAGATGTGGAGAGCTGTTTTTTGGAGGATCTTCCATTCGGATGGAACCTAGCAGGTCCAGGTACCAGTAACAAGGTGAAAATGAGAGTGAATGAGAAGTCCTTGTAGAGCGGCGGCGTGCCCGAGGCCCTATCCGTTCGGAGCCTCGTAAGATATTATTTCTGGCGATATGATCACAAGAAGCAACAAGGCCTGAAGCATATTCTAAGGGCAATAGGTGCATATTTGGAAGCTTGGTGATGGCTCATACAATAAGTATCATGAAGACAACAGCCTGCGCTAAGCTTTTGCGGATTTGTTTGATTGGCCACTCAAGAGCTGCCGAGACACAACTGTTGATCAAGTTGATCAAGTTGGCAAGGCCTCATCTCCCATAACTCATGTAATTAGACAGAGGCTGAAAATAAGAAAAACAACAACGTAGAAGGGCAAACCGACCCTTTACGAGAGCCGGCCAGGAACGGCACGAGGCTGGATACTGGATTTGTCGTCATTTCGCTGTTCGGAAACTTCGCGCAACCTCTCGTGCATGATACCCGTCCAACCAGAGATGGGCTCGCTGTGAGATGGACATGGTACCCATTCAAATCGATTCCGTTGCAGCCGAAGGGACGGAGTTCACAACCTTCCATGGGTAATCGCCTACCTATATTGAAGAAATAAATTCGCGCAAGTTCTTGCTGGAAAAACAGCACTGTACCGTGCGTAGACTGTGATATCCAAGACCTCGAGCTTTGCTTGCTGCAGGCATTTTGGCTTCCTACCTCGTGGGCCGTGAAACCCATTGATGGATGGATGCAAGTGGTATAGAGCCTCGACCCACATGGGTGATTGACAATCTCACCGCACCGTTTCCTCAGTTGCCGTGTTCCGAGTTGCGCATTGGTCAAGGCGAGCTGTTTACTTGTTGGTGTGTTCCAGCAAAATTTCCCTCTCTTTTCCCGCGGCAATGTTGAGCAGTACAGGCTCATCGTGTATCTCCGCTCGTACCTTGCACCGGGACTAGCGTCCCTGTATATGCGGCCCGTTCGTGGAGAGCGGAATTGACCAAGCATTGAGTGGTACGAGCATCGGGTCTTTGTAATCTGGTGACATTGAAGCTACCTCGGAATGAGGTATGGGTTGGGTCGATTGAGATAAAAAGTCAATTGAGTGAGCGATTATTGATTGCTATGAAGGACAGTCAATTAATTACCTAGTAGATTTCGTACCCAGCTGTAATGGAGAAAGAGGTGCCTGGAATATCCCTCGTTGCAAGTTGGGAAGCCGCTACCTACTTCAGCTCCTTCACCTAGCCCTTGCCATTGCCTAGGTACACTCGCGTCGTCATAGGTGTACCTACCTACCTCACCTTTTCTCACTACCTAAGGTAGGTACCTAGGTATGCATCAGCGAAGCTTCCCAAAGAGAGATTGAAATATCTCGTCTTTCATTCACTAATCTTCTATTGTCCACCCGAGCATCGTCCTAGGTACAACTACCTACATTCTCCTTTTCGCACCTCAAAAACTCCCTTCTTTCGGCCACTCAGACACACCCATATCAGCAAATTCCAATCGATCTACATCCTTGTCAGTGACAATTGCTCTGTTTTTGTTTTGTTCCTACTGGTAGCAGCTCTGTAAGTCCCTTCCCACTTTGTAACGCAGCCCCAGTCTGGTTTTCACTCCCCCTGGTCGGTCTCTGGATTGGAGTATTATCATCACCACCTCCATCATGGAAATCCACCTCGTCCGGGGCACTCGGGGGGCGCCAAATCCTGTACTTGGACTTTGGTAGCATTGTACAGTGCACAAAAAGCCTCAGAGAGTGTCGAGATAGGATAGGTACCTCATGGGCTCCTCGAAGCCTGTCTTCCGTCGCACCACACCTCACTGCTCTACCCCGATGCGATGCTCACCCCCCTGGGGCTTGTTACCCACTAACACCATGGTCCTAAGCAACCACTGAAAGAGACCCTGCTCGCTCGCCTTGACCTCTCTTAGCTGGTGTTGCCCGGGATCTGGACCCATTTTACGTACATAATCCTTTCCCTCGTTTGGGGTCGTGACGCTGGTTTCCCCACTTTTCACAGCTCTTGGGTGACTTTTGGTGTCAGATAGCTGATCAACAAAACCATAGAAGAGCCCGCCTTCGCGACCAGACTCATTTGCTGCTTCTTCATCACCCTTCAAGATCGCAAAGGTAGGTCAATTCCTTACTCACAGTCACGCTGCTCCTCTTTCGCTCTTCTCGTCCGCCTCCGGGCCTATTGTACGTTCGATAGTCAAGCCAATTTCTGGGCAATGGCCGTCTCCTCAGTTCTGGAGTCATGCACGTCGTCGCAATCCTGGCGCAAATGCCGGCACCAGTGTCTTCAGTGACATTTGCCAAGAATTCCGTCAGAACATTTCCTGGATGAATCGCTTTGGCCTCGCTCCCATGCAGCTCAATTGAACGACATCGCTGGCATCACCCTTTGAATTGGTGCGACATTGTCGCTCAGTGGAAGAGGGCGAGAATTTGCGAAGCGTGGGCTGTCTTGTCTGCCTATGGCCGCTTTAAGGCGGCGCGGAGCCAAGGAAAACTCGATTGCTAACATGTCTTCCTTAGCAATCTCTCCACTCCAGACACAATGGCCGCCATCAAGTCTCTCATGACCCGCGACGAGGTCGTCCACCAGCTTGCCAAGCGTCAAAACTGGGCCGCCAAGGAGCCTGGTGTTATTGTCGTCTTCTGCATTGTTGGCGTTGGTATGTCATGACTTTTACCTAAGATGTCTGGTGACAATGCTAAATCTTTGGATAGTCGCTATTGGCCTTCTCAGCCTCTTCCTTTACAGGAAGGCCATTGCTCGCAGGGCCAACAAGGCCTCTACCGTCTAAGCCGTTTGATGCGGATGAGGCCGACGTTAAGGAGAGTGGAGCGTGACCTGAGGCATAGTCATGAGCGTCTTTGGACTATGAGCCTCAGGTAGACGTGGTGTTACGACGAGGTGCCTTCTGCGACACATCGGGTGACCGACTGTGACCCCGTATTCCAGTTAACTGTTGCCGGTTACGTCCCTCACCAATTCCTCGCTTGTCAACTGCCAACGCAAACTGTTACGGATAGCAGAGTTGACTGGCAATCTTTTGTACATACCTACATACCACCGGATCTCGTGGGACAAATGTGCTGGAGGGCGGGTTCTCGTCGAGTGTTCGCGGCAAGGTGGCTGTATTCTATCTTCTAATGCTACTGATACCTACTCGTTTGAAGCAATCAACAATAATCATCTACTTGAAATCTAGTTCCAAAACCAAACTCCAGCCTCGTGAATTCCTAACCTGAAGTGGGCTGGGCGCCTACTGATTTCATGTGTGTTATGACAATTACTTTTACATGTGTATCCCGTCTAGAGTTTAGGAATGCGTGTCGTAAAATACTCATGCATGCCATGATGCTGACCAGAGGATGCTGTATCAGTAACCTTCTTTAGCTAACATGTCTGCTATGTCAAGATAGAATGCAATAGCATTGAAATTCTTCTTGATTCCCATCCACTCCCGGACTGTCCAACCAACACGATTGGACCAGTTTATCAGATCCAAGTGGCTCACTCCAAGGAGCGTGCCTTTGTATGTGCCCCAGTGGCTGCTCTCCACACTGACAAGTCCATCGTTGGGTCCCTCGGCCTGTGTCATGATGGCGTGCGGGTGCCGAAATGGACTCAGCAGCGCCGGCCGCTCCACTGCCGCTCCGTACGAAAAGTAGCGTACGTCTGGTTGATCTGGCGTGCTCGGATTGAACTCTTCAGCCATGTAGCGTCTCGTCAACTGTGAGAATGCTGCTGTACCGAGACCAGCTTTTTCGAATGTCTGATACAGTTGAGGCAAGTAATGGTGCAGTGGCGAGACTTCTTCATCAAGGAGGTAGTCTGCAAATGCACTTCCTCGGTGCGGCGTTGCAACGGTAACCACAGCCGCAACGCGGACTGGGAGCGGAGCGAGGTGCGAAAGCATATATCGGGCATCAAGACCACCCATGCTGTGCGCGACAATTGTGACGGCTTCGGGCATTGGAGCGTGGGCTTCAAGGGCGGAGCGGAGAGCAGTAGCGCGATCGGCAATAGAAGATGATGGAGGCACAGTGGGCGTCAAGACGGTGGCGCCTTGGGCAGTGAGGGCATCGCGAATGCCATGCCAGTATTCGACAGCTGGAAAGTATGGAGAGAGACGGAGTTCAGCGAAGCCAAAGAGGCCGTGGGCGAGGACGATGGGATACTTTGGAGTCTCTAGCACCAAACGTATTAGCAGGATAACCCCAGACACTGGAATTAGATGCGGTACCGTATTTTTCTCTTATTGTCGCATAGTCGTCAGATATTTCCCTGCCCAACGCCTTTATCCTCGGATCATGTTCACGTGTAAGGTAAGCGCTGCAAGCGAAGCTTCGATGCCATTGCGCGCGGTATAGTTGCCGAGATAGGAGTAAATCAGGCGCGTTGCGCCATATTACCGATCTGTTCATGGATTGTTGAGTCGCATGGGCGCAATGCGATAGAAGTGTTGGTCTAGAGATATCCAGTAGTCAAGTGGAAAGAATGTCGCGAGCCAGTGACGTCACGGCGCCAATGCATGTGATTATTTATTTTGTAGGTATGTGTGAAATATTTACGTTTGCGCTCCGCGTCTACGAAAAAAGTAGAATGGGAAACTCTTCGTCTTGGGGTTTGTTGGCTTCTAGTTTAAACGTACCTGTAAGTATTCTGCAATATCATAAAAAGCCTTCATAACATATAATCTCTGGGGCTCAGGTCTTCCCTTCTATATTCAATGTCGATAGATGTTGGGGGCTTCCCCTTTTATTTGGGCCTTCAGTGCTGACAGCCTGACGGCAAATGAAAACTGCGATTACACTATTCTTAAATCCACGTAGTTCATTGACGCTACTTACCTGCTGCAAGTGTCTGGAGATGATCTTGTCTTGCTGCAACTGATACTCTAGAGTCGAAGCAAATGTCTGTTAAACTGAGCTGGAAATGTTTTGATTAGGTAGGTATTCGGTATCTATTACTAACAATGGGTTCCAAGATCCACGACAACCTCAAACTACCTATGTATGACAATAAGGTGATACTGGGGTTACATCCAAGCCTGGGTCTGGGATGTATATGCGCCAGTACTTAACCAAGAACTCCTCTTGAAACAGCAGATGAAAGGCAGCATGAGAGTAAGAACTCAACAGCCTGTCTTTATTCCAATAAAATGAAGAATTAATGGCACCATGATCGAGCCAGGGCCGGAATGAACTCTCACTCCCTTCTCACTCCTATCAAAATCCTCCACACCCAGTATTGTCGTTATCATCAGCACATCAATGCATTTATCCGGACAACTCATGCTTTGGATCATTTCAACTTTTCTCAGGAGGTAACTGGCTAGGCGCATTCTCGTTCGTGACACCGCTGTAGGCTGGCCGTGCCTGCATGCCGTCGAAGGGACCAGCCAGGTTCTCCGCGATGGCTTCATCATAGCTGGGCGGAGCATCGTCATATGGAGGTGCCTCTTGACCCGGAGCTAGTTGTGGTGGATAGAGGGGATCATGAGCTGGCTGAGGAGGAACCTGGTTCGGAGTTTGAGAAGGCCGTTGCTGTTGAGCTGACACTGGGGCTGAGGAAACTGAGTTTTGCCTGGGCGGCAGACGGGGCGGGACGTTGTTCGTAAAGGTTGCACGCCCTGGCCGCGTTGACCTTGCGGATTCAACGAGTTCAGGGGGCGGTGTAATACCAGAATAAACTTCGACTTGCGCAAAGTGCAGCGGTAGGAGGATGACCGGGGCGCTCTTGTTGGTGATGCCCTTCTTTGGCTTGCCCCAGGCTAGACCTAGCTTCAACTCGAGCTCGTACCTCCTAGAGAGATTACAAGTGACGAATGAGGGTGCCACAGTGTTGGGAAGAGGCAAATTCTTCCATACATGGTCTGGAATCACCAACTCATTCCCAACTTCGTCAGAAGGCCCTGTAGTCAACGGGATGTTGATGTTGGGGTTTGACACGACAACCCATCGGTTGATCTTCTGGTTCTGGAGCTCGAGCGCGCGGACATCAGTCCGACCTACAAGCTCCATCTGGAACGATACTAGATAGACTTGCTCTGGATTGTTGTTGAGCTTTTTGGCGATAAGCCGCAGTGGAACAGGCTTGTTGCAAGTCAAGACGCTTGGATGGGGAAGGCGTGCTGAAATCTCGATTGCTGGAGCTGGGGCAATATCTGCAGATGGCTCTGGTGTAGAGGCTGATTTTGAATCTGCGCCACTTCCAAAGTTGAAGAGAGAGGACCGCTTCTTCTCTGCCTGAGGGGTCATTGGCCGAAATGTGAAGGGACGACGAGCAAAAGCCTCCTGAGTTGTCGGCTTCGGCCGGGGCGGCTCAATAGGGAGGAACTTCAGACCGATCTGATACCGCCAATTTTCCTTCAGCAATCCCGGTCTCTGGATTGTAACCTTGATGTAGTAGCGAATTTCTGCCTCCATAGGATATCCCGTTAACGACGGAGGTAGTGTGCGGGTGACATGGCGAAGGTAGAGTTGCTTGCTACCATCCATGACCCTTACACCACCAATGCCAAACATTCCTCCGCCCCCAAAACCACCGACGTTGGCCATGCCGCCGATTTTCGACATAGCCATGGGGTCGCTGCATGCATTATTGATGGGAAGCTTGAATTTGAAAGGGAACTCGTGCTCGCCTGCTTGCAGGGGGTATGCACCGTAAGGGTTAGAAGAGCTCGCATAATAGTCATCTGGGAAAACCTGTTGTAGTTTGTATAAGATTTTATGGTTCTCAGCTGCGGTGCTGCCAGGAGGCCGTTGAGGACTAGGTTGTAGCCTGGCCATGTTCTGTGGATCAAAGGCATTTGGAGCCTGCAGAGCTGTTCCCGATTCCCCTTCAAGCTTGACAACAATGCTTCCGATCTGCTCGGCGCGGTTGAGACCCAGGATGATTCGGCCCTGTACCAAGTCGAGGTTGGTATAGAACTCAGGCTGGTTGTCCAGCGCTATTCGAATAGACATGACGGGCGAGACTCAGGAAAAGACTGACAATGAAAGAATAAGAGGACCCCTGTGTGACGCGAGTGCTAGATCTGAGATTGACTCGGACCTAATAGTCCAATAATGTTTATCGTACTGGAGTGAGTTGAGCGTGATAAGGTAGGTAGCTAGAGATCTCCACCAAGAGACTCTTCGTTTGAAGGAGCGTTTCACAATTTGGCGTATCCTCTCGAATAGCTCCAAGGTCTGTCAGTCTTGCATTCTCTGCATGGGAGAAACTTGATCGATTTTCATTGACTCTTTCTTAGACGGATTGCACAGGAAACCTGGGTTTACTTAGTTGGATGTACGTCACCAAGGCTACTCAGCCTGAGCCAAGCCCCGCGATAGGCCTCACCGCACCTGACATGAAGGGGTGACTGTGGCTAATTACAGATACTGTGGCGCATGTGGCTTGCACGATCGGGTGCTTTAGTGCCGCTTCTCCGACAAGCTTTTTTGCTGTACTGTATGTAGGTATCCGTACTCCGTACAGATCTGGCAACTCGAGATTGTGGCCCTTCAACCCAATTCATCGAGGGCAATCTACCAAAAGTCCCTCAAGCAGGGGTACAAGTCGTCTCGTCTACCCAACCTTTTCACGCGGTCACATCTCCGCTGTGCCGCGATGAGTTATAAGATGTTTGGTGGAGAAGGTTCCAAGATCAATTCCCTGGAGATTGGAAATGCTGTTATCATAGACAGGGCAGGGCAGTGAAGGGGAACGCTCAAGCCAAGCACGAGGTGCTTTGAAATGCAGATGCGCAGGACGCATGAAGAGTGTTGGTGATGACAACTTTTCATGAGCGTCACCTGCTTCATCCAGCCTTGAAGCCTGTCGCAATCTCCACTATAACGTCCGACAGGATATCAACCAACACAGTTCTTTGACACACCCATCACATATCAACAACATGGAGGTGGACACAGACCGCAATTGGCACGACACTTTTGTCGGCATTGAGTCTGTCAGGGCAGGAAAACCCGCGATCGACACCTCATAGCACTCACGGACCCTCTGCCGAGGTGTTTCAACGCCCACAATTTGGCATGAGATGTGCTGCATCTCGAACCAACTGCATATCCAGGGTCCGTCTGTCGACTTGGTGTTTGTCGTTGGAGTTCTCCCGAGGTCGACGAGGTTTCCTTTTAAGTCAGGATCGGCATTGTTCACGCCGCGCTTCGCAACGCCAATTTACGAGCCCTGTACTGTACATATGATGTGTCCCGGAACCACTCCGCGCTTCTGCAGCACCTCGAAGCTTTGGATCATGACATGACCCATCCACTTCCGAGTCACATACGTCGAGTTGCTTGCGACTTTATGGTAACTCCCGATCACCACTCGCGTTAGAAGAGCTCGCGGAATGGCACCATGCGGGCCGCTTGCCGCCCAAAGACCATCAACGCCCCATTTCGCGCTCGTCGACCAACCACGACAAGGCCTGGCCGCTTTCGTGGCCTTGTACCGCTCGCCCGCTGCGTCTGTGCCGTGCGGGCTGCCGCCGTTTCCCCGCCTTTATTCCTTCATGATTGGCACACTTAGCCCGCCCCCCATCTTAGCCAGCGCAACGACAACAAGATTTGTCACTTGCAGGCAGAGATTGCTATGTATGATCCTGGGCTATACAACCCTGTCAGGCTCCGGATAAGTCACACCTTTTCTGTCCATGTCATGTTTTGAGTTGCATAGCCATTTCTGTGCAGTTGTCCTAGTCATGTCAACCCATCACAAACCTTACAAAACCACTTTACGGATGCCATCCTGGCTTATGATTACAAGGATCCAACGCCCAACAACAACCACATGCTCTTTGATGCTCCATGCCCTAGATGCCTTTCTCTTCACTCTGGCACTTTGCAAGGACTGGATACCATGTAACTTTGTGCTCCTCCATGTCGATCATGACCAAGCTTGATTGGTCGTGTTGGCTCTCGCATCAATTATGGTTCGAGCTTATGGCAGTTGTTCTTGTTCGCCATTGGACCGCCCAAAGTGCCGTTTAGTAAAGGCTGAATACCCGTCTCACCCGTCGAGACCTTGTCTAGCTTGTCTCTACTGTTGCACTGCATCATGGCCCTCCCAACAGTGATCCCCCTCTCTGCAGCGCCCCATGAGTACAGAGCCTCACATGCAGGGCTCCGCCCAGACCAGGCAGATGGCAGATGGTAGAGTTCTGATCAGTCTGTCTATATGTATGGGGGCCAAGCCATCCCGTCTTATTCTCCGAGTCCCCCTTTGCTTTTGACTTGGTTGTCAGCCTGCCATGATAATTTGCCAGCCTTTGTTGGTCGACACCCGACGATGGCAGGCGACTGTGGAACGACCTGTCCGGCCTCTGATGGCTTCTACTCATACAATCCCAGTGTAGGGGGCAATGCTGTGTTGCTTGTTGTCTTTGCTCTCCTTGCTCTCGCCGCCATCTATTTTGGTATCCGCTCTAGGACCTACCTCTTCTCCCTCGCACTCACCACAGGACTTTTTCTCGAAGTACTAGGATTTGTTGGCCGTATTCTGCTTCACTCGAAGCGAGATAGCCAAAGCCACTTCTTCCTCTTTTTATTCGGAACAGTCTTGGGGCCATCGTTGATTAGTGTTGCCATCTTCATAATCCTTCCTCACATTCTTGGCATTTATGGAGAGCCACTTTGTCCTTTTAGGCCACTTGTAGCTGGCCTCGTTTTTTGGGGACTCGCTGCAGTCACTGTGCTATTCGAGCTTATCGGCATCGTCTTTACGGCATATGAATCTAATGGAGTCACAGTATGTTATCTCCACGATGGAAGCAAATAACTATCATGTACTGACCTGAGCAGCGGAAACAAGGAGCAGCGATCACAGCTACAGGTTTGGCCATTCAAGCCCTGTCATTGATAGCATGCACTGGGCTACACTTCTGGTTCACCCTCAGCTTGAGCACTCGTCGAGGAACCCTTGACGCCCGGCACTCACAGGTCTACTCCTCCTCTCGATTTAAGAAGTTCCTCCTAGGTATGTCCACGTCCTGCGGAACAACTATCATAGGCTGACCCCGTCTTCAGCAATGGAGATGGCATCTGCTCTCTTGATTGTCTACTCCTTCTATCGGCTAGTCGAATTTGCGGATGGTGTTTCGGGGGATGTCTTCCAGAACGAGGCTGCTTTCATGGTTGTTGGAGGACTTCTCCCCTTCTTAGCCGCAGCACTCTTGACAGCCATCCACCCAGGCAATGCCTTTGCTGATGCCTGGGCCCCTACATCACCTCGCGGGATCAAACGTCAAAGTCGACCAACACCTGTACAATCTCCCACCCCTAGTGGTCATCCCGTCCACCATTTATATGACCCCGACATTCGCAAGCAGATCTCGCCGACGTCACCAAAACACCGGAACTCAGCTGGACCACCTGAGCTTCCACAGGGATCCATGGGTCTGCCTGCGCATCCGAAGCCGGTGCCAAGACCCCCGAGTCCTCGGGATCCCAATGCCCCGCGCAAGGGGCCACCTGCACCGCTGAATCTGGCGGCCGTGCGTGCATCACGAAATAGTTGCAGGGCAGAACAGAGAGGTCATGCACCAAAGGATATGGTTCCCGATGGAGAGCTGTGGTAACCAAGTTGGCGGGGAAGTCGATGACAATCAAGGAGGTACTACCTGTTGCTAGACTGGAGAGTTGGGTGCGGTTTCAGGGAGCGCTGCTGGTTGGCTTACTCGCTGTGATCTGATATATGATATGGCTATCTACTCGCCATGATAGGGATAGGCAGCTTGTGGAATATTCTATGCTGGGTGCTCAAAGGTGCTGGAATTGATGGTTCTCAGGCTGAGGACAGTGGATTTTATCAAGATGTTGGATTCTAATTAGCACCTGTATGGATGACGGTTCTGGATTACATATAAGGTATATATATGTGCGTCCATTCGGGTGCCTGCCTCTGCGTCGCATCTAGGTCACAATGTGCATTTACCAAGTGATGAACTCCTGTACCAGGCAACACCAAGAAGATTACTGCTAGGTGCAATGGTATTCGACGGTACGATAAGGTGCTACGGCTTTGACAACTGACTAGTCTCAATGAGAACGGGCCAGTTGACGCTGGACTCAGGTTAGGTTGTGATTTTTCACTGAGGGAACTCAGGCTCTATGGTCATGTGCAGCTTGTCTGGCTAGATCAATCATCCTTTTGCATAAAGCTAATACTTCACAGTTGTGTTCCCATAGTCTCTTTCAAATGCTGGACTCCTATCGGGTAATGCCTGATGAGAGACGGAAGCTTGTAAACGCGTTTCAAGGGCTACTGCGGGCGCAAAAGATGGATGATTACAACGAAACCTTATATCATGGTGGTAGGGTCGCAGATGGCAACGTAGTCTACATAGAACTTGATATTGGCTGTCCTTGCAGCATGTATTGGATGCAACGAGAACTGCCACTAACTGTAATCTCGAGGCTGCGCAGATCGCTCAGCATAACATGACTGTCAAAGTCAAAACCCAGAGTGCCAAGATGGGCTATCAATAGCGGTATTGTTGACTGGAATGCAGGGGTTACGGCCCACGATGTACAGCATGCAAGGCACAGAGGCATGTTTGTGCAGAGTTAGCGCCTCGCCAGGAACGGGAGGGCAAGACAAGATCGACCGGATCGGCCAGACTTGACGCTATCGGAAATATATTTGACACAGTCGTGAATACAGTCGATCTATTGGATTGAAACAGGAGATAGGTCAAGACGCATGCTTGTCTCTCGTACTCCTTGGTCGTTCTAGTCGTTGTAGAGTCGGGACCCTAGTGGTCCAGCCTCTCTCAAATATATCGCCGTGTTTTAGGAGTTGAGATGATGAGTCTGATGAAGGCTGGCATAAGGTCTCCAAATAGGCTGTCAAATCTGTACCAATACTATTCCTGTCCATCCAAGTCTTGAGCATATCCTACCGAAAGAGGGCTCCCGTGTAACGTGGCCACGAGTTTGGCTCAACATGTCTCATGATCGAGAACAGAAGATCAACAGCGCTTAGCCAGGTCCGGCCGAGAGAAACTCCCACCAACGTTTTGGCTCTCGATGGAGGACAATGTGGCTTTATAGACCTCTGCCCTGTACCCAAGAATACCCAAAGCTGTCTGAAAGCAGACGCCATGGCTCGTCATCTCCCTCTAAAGAATGGGATTACCCTCGTAGACTACGATTCCTCCCTTCTCTAACTCACACTGCTCTTCTATATGCTCAGGCACCTATGTCAGAAACTGAGTGACTCTTCATACTCATCACCAATGTCTTGCTCATTTGCACTGATATCGGATATCATCAATCGTAAGCTCGGTAGAAGCCGTCCTTCCGAGTACGACGACGACGAGAAGACACGGGCTATATCCATCACCACTACTATCACCATCACGACGACGGCGACGGACTCGATTGGGTAGGATGGTGGTCCTGGAAGGGGCCGACTTTGAGCCCAGGCATGGCAACGGCCAATCTGTTTTCGACCTCAACGTTGCCTTGATGGTCATCACTAATATCTTGATGATTCTGCGATTGTATGTTCGTGGCATCATGGCCAGGAATCTTGGATGGGACGATGGGTTGGCTGTTGTTGCCTGGGTAAATACTCGTTGTAGTATCCCATCAAAAACCAGAGTACACTAACGTATGACTAGGGCCTTGTCGTGACCTTTTCTTGTATAGAAATCGTCCTCTTGACGAAGGGTGTTGGATATCACATACAGGATGTGCCGAGAGAGACTTTGCTTCAGCTTCTGTCAGTATGTACCTAAGCATCGAACCCTGAAAGTGTACTCTCCAGAGCATTGACTGTTCACTGCTACAGCTGTTTCCTGTCGACAAGTTAGTTTTCATCTTGGCGGGTGGATTTGTCAGGCTATCAATCCTTGCTTATCTCCCTCGAATTAGCAGAGAGAGTAAGACAATCACCCACCTACAAGTTCCTGTTACTGATCTGAGTCTTTAGGGTCTTTTATGACGTGCGTCTATGGAGTTTTTGTGGCAACCATAATTACTGCTGTGACTTCATTCTTGTTTGTCCTTTTGTCCTGTAGCCCGGTATCGTATGTTGATTCCTTTCTCTCCCCTGTAAATTATTCAGAGACTGAGTTTAATAGAGACGTATTCAACGCCGCAAAGCCTGACAGACAATGCGCTTCAAAACATAGCCTGTCTCGTATGAGATGGGCTCACTCGATTATGTCAACTATTCTTAACGTCGTGATACTCAGCCTCTGTATATGGGTTTCAGCGTCAACCGCCAAAACACGAGCTCAAGTCACCAAGATGACGTTGATGCTTCTGCTTGGACTGTTTGCTGTTGTTTCGACAATCACTAGGCTCATTATTTTGCTTGCAACCAACATGAATGCGGACATGTTAGTCAACCACTGCGGTGTATTAAGAATAACAGCTGACATGTACTATAGAACTTACAACAGCCTTCGAGTAGCACCATTCTTCCCCCTAGAGATCAACTCGGGTCTCTGGTGCAGCTGTCTCCCTGCTTTCCAGCCCCTTTTCGAGTGGACCAACAACCGCTGCTATGATCATTACAACATGAGGAAGCTATCTCGAAGCAGCGCCCAAGAGCCGCTGAACGATTCTTGGCACAGAGATTACATGACTGCAAATCCTCATGTTTCAATCCACGGGCAGCCAAGGGATTTGAGAGGAAAGAGGGCGGCATCGGATGCTGAATCAGCCACTGGATTCGCAATGTTGGAGAATGAAAGAGGCATCAAGTTGACCACTGAGTTTTCGGTGCATGTGGAAGACAGGGTGTATACCGGAGAAGGGTCAGAAGACATAGTATCAAGGACACCAGCGTGGAACGCATTCTGAGAGAAATAGCCCCGTAATGATAGTACGAATTATACTACTATACCTCAAAAATCTTGTAATATTGCAGTAAAAAGAAAGAGGAATGGTCATTAAGGCAGTATTGGGGCATTGTACAAATCTCAGCACCCCCCTTGATATTGACAAAGAGATTCATGAATCGAATCAACGTGGTTGAATAATATACTGTTCAACAAACGAGTGAGGTTTGTTGACGGAAACTTCTGTTCTTGAAAACGAAATCTCTAGTTCAATCCAAACCAAGTACAAGAAACTGCACACCCTGTGACCGTGGTCCTTTGTTTCCAGTGCTGGCAGCTCTAAGTAGGGATGGACAAAGGACTCGACTCGGGTAACTAGGCTTGTATAACCATCACCGAATATTAACGTCGAGAGTCTGGGGGAGGGCGATTGGAGTCCAAAGGTTCTATATTTCACAATGATCACTAGTTCAAAACAGAAACTGTCGATGAACTTGGGCACACAAGACGTAAAAACGATCAGTGAAGCGTACCTTAGAACAGACAGGTTATTTAGCATACTGAGAGGGTAGCATAGAATAGAAATGAGTGTGATACTAAGCATTGAATGTTCGTCAGAGTCAACTCTCAATGAAGTTGTTTTGCAGTAAAGATGTCTGTCCGTGTCCCAAAAAGTGGAACACGCTCACCAACAGAAGACCTTCTCAAGGATTCGATGCATCAATGAACCAGCCTTGCCTGTATTCAACTCTTTAAGTCCCTGTTCGGAGAGAACACTCATCTTCAGGGTCACTACACGGACACTACTGATGGACAAAGCCTGTTCAGCCCCAAATGATTGCTTTCCGAGGAATTATTAAAGCCTCCAAAACCCTCGATAGTTGTCCATGCCACGACCAGAGACTCTTTCACAGACAGCAATTTTCTACCTCTTCTGGAACCAGATTTTAAATCTCAAAATGATGCAGGATAACAAATTGGAGACGATACAAGACGTTCAGGAAACAGGACAAACAGTTCATCACCACCAACAACAGCCATCCCTCAAAGACACTGGCTCCGGATCTCCCCACAGCCAGAACGAGCCTTGCTTCGATGATTACACCACGTCAACTAAGCCAACCAGGACTCAAGTGGCTCGAGAGACTATAGAAACATACAACAATTACAGAAATAAGCGAAAGACAAAGGATCTCAACTGGTGGGGAAGCAAGCACCATGAAGCCGAAAGAGGCGATCCAGATCGTGAATTTGAGTTCGCACGAAACATGCCAGTATCAAACCACGATATCAAGAGTGCTCAACAAGCGTATAATGCTAGAATAACTGACCCTTTTACAGGTAAACCCAACCCGATGGGCCCTCACTTGCGACCTACAACTCCTCCAATGGAGAAAGCTGAGAAGCAGATCAAAGGCCTGGAGGACCAAGGGATTAGTGTAACTCCTGGACTGAGAGAGGAAGTGACTCATCATTTCATCTCCAACAGTGGGCTCCATGCTGTTCTTTTAATCTGGTGCAGGAACAAGAAGGATGTCCCCGTCCAGTATGTTAACGAGTACATCAAGAGCATGTCTCGACTGAAGCTCGAAATGGCCACGCAGCAGCGTGACGTGACAGAGAAGCTAGGCCAAGCCATTAAAGATTGCGAAGAAAGGGAATTTCGCTGTCAGCAGCTGCAAGGTGAAAACAGCAGGCTCAATATGGAATTAGAAAGGCTCAAAGAGGAAAAAGAGAAGATGGACGTACAAGCGAACCCCCTAGTAACTACACAAGATGCTCGTCAA